AAACAAAAGTTTTCACTTGTGGGTGAACTATTGCTTTAAAGGGGTCATATGATGCGATTTCAATTTTTCCTTTCTCTTTGGAGTGTTACAAGCTCTTGGTGCATAAAGAAGATCTGTAACGTTGCAAAGACTAAAGTCTCAAATCCAAAGATATATTCTTTATAGAAGTTAAGAATTGTGCATGCCCTCCTAAAACGGCTCGTTCTAACATAATAATGTTCTTTTTAGCAACATCATATGACCCCTTTAAAGTTGGTTTTGATTCACCTTCATTCTTTCCCATTCAGTCTTTACTCTCTGGAGTAATTTTACTTTTTTTAACTCAAAGTCTTCCATTCCCTTGAAATAATCTAGTCATTGCTCCTTGATTTCCATTAGCTTTCTTCACTGGTTGTTTTCTCCTCTCAAATCATTTTGAAGTTTTAAGATCAAATTCTGCTCTGTGCAGTGATTTTTGTCTGAGCAGTACTGATTTACTGCAGCCTTTAATGGTGCAGCTGACTCTCTGATCTCTACTCCGCAGCACTGGCTGCTTTTGTATCAGTTCTGATTAGTCACATGCTTTCCAAATTAACTCATCATGCCTTACAATTACCCAGTGTGACAACTTCCTCTCCGGTCATCATCCCTCCTTATAGACTCTATGATTCAAGTGAGTCTCTGTGATGGAGCTGTATTGTATATAGTTGCAGCCTGTGACAATCTGGGCTTCAGTGGACTTCCTGCTCTGACCTCAGAGATACCATACCATACCCTTAGCACTTCCTCGTCTATTACCCATCAAAGATATTATCATAGTTTTTGTTAATATATTTTATAAATTTATTTTAATATTTTCTGTTTTCAATTTAATTTTTGTGGTTTTAAGTAATTTTGTTTGTATTTGTCTTTTTTAATCTATGGATTTGTTTAAAAAGTCTATATACCGTATTGGCCCGAATATAAGACGACCCTGATTATAAGACGACCCCCCCCTTTTTCCAGATGTACCTTTTGGAAAAAGGCTTTTTAAAAACCAAATCTTGTTTTTTCTCAGTAAAACACATTTTGTCTTCAATTATTTTCATATTGCATATTTTTCCTATTT